AAATATAAAACTTCTCTTTCGAAAGCATAGCCACGGTACCATACCATTTGTATGCATAAAATTAGCATAATCGCTTAATATCTCAAAATATTCAGTGTTAAATTTCCAGTTGTCTCCACACGTAATTCTGTTTTTAAAATACAGTTTCCTTGAATCAGGATCTGTATAGAGTCCCCCCCCGAGCTTGGCTCATTTGTCTTGAAGATACCGTTTGATGCTCGCTTCTCCATCTGGACGTCTCCCTTGCAGTCTGTTGAAGAACCGGGTCACCTGTCCTCTCGAGTTTCGCAGATCTTGCTGATGGCGCCTCATGGAGTCGTGTCACGCGGTCCCGTCGTCTGGTTGTCTGTAAATTGGGAGGTGGCCCTGGCCGCCGGGTCTCCTTTGGGCAGGTCTGGGAAGGAGTGCTGTCCGGGCGGAGGCACCAGCCTCAGTTGGCAGTCGTTCACAGCCGCCATGGCTGCCAGGCGTTAGTTCAGTGGGGCTGTGGAGTGGTCAGAGCCAAGTTTCATTCAGGAGCCGGAGGTTTTAAAGAGAAACTCCTCTCATCAGCTGTTTGGTTATCCAGGGGTATCGTTTGCGGAGGAAAAGCAGAATAGATGCTCGCTTCTTTCCCCTTTAGTTGCCACTTTTGAAAACCATGAATTGGTTTACCAGCATGATCCCATGATGACCGGTTCATTGAAAAAATTATTACCCCTGCCCCACGCCATATACAAAAGTTAACTCAAAATGGATCAGAGACGTGAATGTAAGAGCTAAAGTTGTAACACTCTTCAAAGAAAATGCAGAGGTCAGTCTTCATGACCTTGGGGTGGGTGATGATTTCTTAGCTATAACACCAAAAGCATGAGCAACAAAAGAAAAAACAGATAAACCAGACTCCATCAAAATTAAAAACTTTATGTTGCAGCTGATAAACACGAAGAAAGTGAAAAGATAAACCACACAGGTGGGAGACAGTTTTGCAACTCATGTATCTGATAATGCATTTATATGCATACTACGTAAGAACTCTTACAGCTCAATGATAAAAAGACAGATAACTCAACTAAAAAGTAGGCAAAGGATCTAAATAGACTTTTTTCCAAAAAAGATATACAAATGGCCAATAAGCACATGAAAAGATATTCAGCACCATTAGCCATTAGGGAAATGCAGATCAGAAGCACAACGGATGTTATTTTATACCTCTAGGATGGCAAAGAATATTGAACGTACCATGGACTGCCAGAAGAACAAACAAATCTGTCTTGGAAGAAGTACAGCCAGGATGCTTCTTAGAAGCGAGGATGGCAAGACTTCATCTCACATACTTTGGCCATGTTATCAGGAGGGACCAGTCCCTGGAGGAGGACATCATCCTTGGTAAAGTGGAGGGTCAGCAGTAAAGAAGACGACCCTCAACGAGATGGATTGACACAGTGCCTGCAATGATGGGCTCAAGCATGACAACTGTGAGGATGATGCAGGACTGAGCAGTGTTTCGTTCTGTTGTATGTGGGGGTTACTGTGAGTCAGAACCAACTTGATGGCACCCAAAAACAACAACAGGAAGGCTATAATCAAAAAGCCAGATGATAATAAGTGTTGACAAGGATATGAAGAAATTGAAACCCTCATAACACTGCTAGTGGAAATGTAAAATGGTGCAGCCACTTCGGAAAATAGTCTGGCAGCTGCTTAAAAGGTAAAGCATAAAGTTACCACATGGCCCAGCAATTCCACTCATACCCAAGAAAAATGTTAAAATGTCCACACAAAAACATATGTACGTGAACTGAAAACTTATGCACACAAAAACATGCACGTGAATGCTCATAGCAACATTTTTCATAATAGCCAGAAAGTAGAAACAACCCAAACGGCCATCAGCTGATGAATGGATAAACAAACTGTGATACGTCCACACAGTGGGCTGTTATTGGGCAGTTAGAAGGGATAAAGTTCCGATCTTGCTATAATGTGAACCTTGAAAACGTTACGCTGAGTGGAAGAAGCCATTCCCAGAAGGTGACAATTCCATCTGCATGAAACAGCCAGGGCAGGCGGATCTCTAGATACAGAGTGGGCTAGTGGTTGTGGAGGGCCAGGGAGGAGAGGTCGAAGAAACGCTGTTTCGGTGTTATGGACACCATCTGGGGTTCTGGCCCTTTATTCTATTGATGGGGTGTCTTCTGTTGTATTTTGTATGTTGAACCAGCCTTACATTTTTGGGATGAATCTCTCTGGTTCACGGTGTGTGAGCCTTTTTAATATGTTGCTGGGTCTGGTTTGCTGGCATTTTGTCTGAAGAGTGAGTCATGTTTTGTGGCGTGCGGTCTCTGGGCTTCAGGTGTGGGTAGGACAGGTAGCTTTCTGCGCCCTTGGCTTTGAAGAGAGTTTAGGCGTCTTCTGAACTCAAGGACACACCTACAGCCCCTTCCTTCCTGCTGGTTCCTCAGAGTTGACTCACAGGTCTGTGGTGACTGGGTGGGGTGGACCCTGCACACTGCTTGGTTTCCCTGAACCACTTTGAGGGCGGAGACAACAAACCCACCCAGGACCCTTCTCTCTCAGGTCAGCATCTGTTCGTCCTGTTGAGTGAGGCAGTGGCCGTGAGAGGCAGCACTGGCCTGGGGTGAGGGCTGGTTTCCAATAGCTGGTGAGGTCTGACCTTTGGCTAATCCCCAAGCTTACAGGGGGGTAACTAGATGCCCTCTGTGGGCTTCCTCATGCCCCTGTCTGGGGTTCTCAGCTTGGGCCTCGCAGATGGAGTGCAGGGATCTACGAAGTTGGGTAGGAGAAAAGGTGCTGTCACCTGCCTTTAGCATCTCCTCCAGTCAGGGATGCGGCGAGTGTCTGTCTCTGCAGGAGAACCCACATGTTCTCAGCACTGTCATAGCTGGCCTGGAGATCTTAGAATGCTGTCTGTACCCGTCACTGCTTCAGAACGCTGGCAGTCACCAGACCTGCTGCCCCATCTCTTTATTGAATGCATTCACACAGAACCATGTGAACTGCATCACAGACGTATCGTTTTGGTATTTTGACACTTGTGTGTCTATGTGTTTTACGTCATGCATTTGAGACGTGATTCTGAGAGGGCCATAATCGTCATCAGCTGCCAGGAGCGTAGCTCAGGTGAAGGAGAGAAGGTCCGCTCCCGAGGGAGGGGCTGCACCTCCCCAGGGGCACAGGCCACCCCAGCTCCTCGGAAAGCCCCGGGGAGAAAAGATGGGTTTGGGGCCAAGGTTCTGGGCTGGGGCAGGAGGACGAGGGGATGTCACTGGGCTGAAAGCGGCTCGGCGGAGGCGGGACTGGGGACTGTGGCTGGGAGGAGGGCCTCCCCTGGGAATGGAGTGGAGTGGAGGGCAGCAGGGGACAGCAGGCGTTGTGGAGACACGCAGCCCAGGCCAGTGAGCTGGCTGCAGGAAGCCTGGGACAGCAGCTGCAGTGCCATCTTCATGACAGCGGTTCCCTGCTAGAATGCTCCCGTGGGGTCGAGTGGACATCCTTCTAGACTTTGTTTCTGTGTATAATGTAGCTGGCTTTACGGACTGTTTTACAGCCGGAATTATTAATGATGCATAGTATACATCTTTCCATGTGAAGACGTTTTTCTAGAACTCGTTAGTACTGGCATTCAGAAAAATAAAGAGCACAGCCAAGCAATGCCGAGAACACGAGGCCCACGTGGAAGGCACCGGCCCCTCCTGGCCCGCCAATACCCCACGTTCCTTCCCGCGAGGCGCGACAGGCCCTTCTTTGAGGGTCAGGTACTGGACACGGAGTGCCGGGTTGCAGGGCAGGCCCATTCGCTGTGACTTTGCAGCCTGCAGGCAAGTGGCTCCTGAGAGTTACACCCTGCCGTGTCCAGCTGCTGCGCTGTGAGCACAGCCCCCCAAATTCTCACCTGCGCTCTGTGCTTTCACCCTGCTTGTCTGCCGGGGTCCTAGGCTGTGGGTGTCAGCCTGACGACGGTTTTGGAAGTGAGTTTATTGATGAGATAGTCCACCCAGCACATGTTCGAGCTGGTTTAGGAAGGCTTGTCCCTAAAGACAGATAATTTCCAGCCAAAGCATCAAAGGCGCTGAAGGAGAGGAGAGCTCGGTCTGCCCTGTAAAAGGTTAGGTGAAAGGGGCAAGATGATTTTAAACCGTGGAGTTTTGTCCCGTCCGGTGGGGGGATGCTGGGGTGGAGACAGGCAGCGTGGCTGCTGTCGGGACCCGTGGACGGGAAGGGCGGGCTCCTTTCAGACCGCACCGCCGTGGCAGGAGGCGAGGCCGGCGCCTGGTTCAGGTGGCCATGGTGGTCCGTGTGCGGAAGGGCCGTGGGAGTCACGGGGGAGCTACCGGTGATGGCACACGTCACGGGATCTTAGAGAAGCGAACGTGCTGGCTGGCTGGCTGGCTGGCTCTCAGAGCCTCAGCGTCTGCAGACCAGGCCACTCCATGGGGACGCCCCGGAGGACAAGTGCTGGCCTCCCGGGGCAGGGGTGGATCCTCAGAAGTCCTGCTGCCGCCCAAACCCCAGAGCCTGCCCTTGAACCTGGAGGCTGCCCGGCTGGAAGGGGCGGATGTGGGCTCTGGAGGCCTGAGCCTTGTTCCCGCCCAGCAGAGCCCCTTGGTCTCTCTGCGTTGGGGCTTAGCCTCGAGAAGAGGGCTCCTCTCACCCTGGGGTCCCGGCCCTTCCCACTTTCCACAGGCAGGCATCACCAGCTCCTGCATGTCCTGTGCTGGTGTGAGCAAAGCACCAGACCCCTGTGAAGCTTCACTTTGCGGGGCGGGGGCGGGCAGCTGACCAAGGCTTAGTGCGTGTGTCTGGAGCAGGTGGCAGGTGACGGGGGCGGTCTGGGGGGGGCCGTGGACAGGAGACTTGGAGTGTCAGGCCCGATGAGGGCGCCCACTGCTGTGGGGACGAGAACCCGTTACTCACAGTCAGACCATCTCAGGGCGTCTGGGGTGGCCGTGGTGTTGGGGCCGTGTGTGATGACCTTCCCCTCTCCCTCTTCTCTTCAGCCAGGGCCAACTCGTTCGTGGGAACAGCCCAGTACGTCTCTCCAGAGCTGCTCACGGAGAAGGCGGCCTGTAAAAGGTAATGGCTTTGCCCGCTCTTGTCTGTGTGAGAACCAGCACCGAGGAGAATGCTTTGAGAGCAGCTCGCGTTGTGCGTCTTAGCCGTGTCTTTCCTGGAATCACCTGCCCGTGGCAGTCCCCACAGGAGAACAACCCGCCCCACGTGTCCACAGGACCCAGGGTGAACCCTCCTGTAGCGAGGGTACTACTTACTGGGTTTCCAAGAGTCAGACCCATTACCTTAGAAGTAGCTTTTCAACTTTATTCTAGAAGGAAGCAGCTCTTTAGCACTGAGGTGGGAAGATCTCCAATATCCGTTCAGCGAAACGGAAGACAGACCAGCATGGATAGCGTGCTACCTTTTGGGTCAATAAAAGGAGGAAGCCACGTGTATATTCTGTCTGCTTGTGTGTGCATTTAGAGTGTTCTAGAAGGACGTATCAGAAACAGGCAGCCGAGGTTTCCTGCCTGCGGATGGGAGCAGGGTCCATGACACAGCCATCACTGTGTATCTTTTTATGCTTTTTAACTTTTAAAAAATACGATGGTTATTCAAAGTTTTTGTGTTTTTTTTAGTAATTCTAAAAGTTAAACACCATTCATTGTCAAGGATTCTTGGGAAATCTACAGACCAAAAGCACAGACAACACCCTTAGTCTCCAGGCCTAGGGATCACCGGGGTGATGATGTCTTTCCAGCCCTTTGTTTCTGTGCACTTTGTACGTGTTCACGTAACTCTTACCCCGCAGAGGCTGCACTGAATAAGCAGTTTAGTGCTGATGGCGCTATGAATCCTCCCCCATGGCAGTGAAGTCACTTGCAGACACGTGTAACGCTATGTGGCTTCCCAGCAGACGGCTCTGTCAGGGTTCCTCCAGCGCCGCCTTCCCTGTCGGGTGCTGAGGTGGTCCTGGGTTGTTAGCGGACTTTGGCCCGCCCTCCCTGGGCCACGGTCCGAGGTGGTGAGCGAGGCGGCCCTGTCCGTAGTTGGCTGCCCTGGGCCGGGGCACGAGTGCCGCCCCCCACGGCCTCTGGTTGGATTTCCAGAAGTCGAATGCCTCGGTCCAGCTCTCTGAACATTTTACAAGTCTTCAGTCCTTAAGGCTTTCCAGAAAAATTCTGCTCGCTTCCCCTTTATTTTTATTGTATTAAAAACCATTCTAAAGGATAAAATACCTGCATGGGATAAAACATTCCAGTAACTCACACAGGTGGAAAGTTCCCAAAAAGCCCTTTCCCCTTGCAGCCCCTCCCGTGCCTCTACCCTCACGGAGGCAGGAGGGTTCTGTCCCGTCTTTCCTGGCTCCCGTTTTAACTAGACTAAACAGTACAGAAAGCCAGTGTGAACACCCGTCACCGAGGGAGCACGAGATTCTCTCTGACTGCCCGCTCTGCTGTGACTCAGTTCCAGTCCCCACGCTGAGCGCCCCATCCATCCCGGACGCGCAGGTCCCGGTCTGTCCTGGCTGCCGTCTCCGGGGCTTGCCTGGACCCACACCCTGTGACTTGGTTTCCAGCGTGCCAGGCCGGGGTGGCCTGAGAGGGCGGCCGCTGGTGTGTGGGTCAGAGTTGCATCTTGATGCTTCCCAAGGTTAAGCTGGGCGCAGAACACAAAATCGGAAAATTGGCTATATTCTGGAAATGACTTAGAGGAATTCAGAGTGGAGGTGTCTTCTTCTCAGATGTGTAATTAAGGTGTTTAGAAAGAGGGGCAGGGCTGCTCCCCCCCCCAGGCCAGGCAGGGCAGGTGAGGCCCACGCCCTGCGCCCTGCGCGAGCCGGCTCTCTCAAGGCATGTTTGCGTTGGCGTCCTGGGGGTCAGCCCCGAGGGGTGTGATGAGGGGCAAGATCTCGCAGCTCTCCCTCCCTCTCCTCTGTCTCTCTCTATCTCTTTCTCTTTCCCTCTTGCTCTCTCTGTCTCCGTCTCTCCTCCTCCTTCCCTGTCTCCATCTCTCTCCCTCTCTGGTCTTTCTCCCTCTCTGTCTCTCCCTCTTTCTTTGTCTCCCTCTCTCTCCCCTGTCTCTGTCTCTCTCCCTCTCTCTCTCTGTCTCTCTCCCTCTCTCTCTCTCCCTGTCTGTCTCTCTCCCTCTCTCTGTTTCTCTCCCTCTCTGTCTCTCCCTCTCTCTCTCTCTCTCTCTCCCTCTCTCTCCCTCTCTCTCCTCCTCTCTGTCTCTCTCTCCCTCTCTGTTTCTCTCCCTTTCTGTCTCTCCCTCTCTCTGTCTCTCTCCTTCTGTCTCTCCCTCCCTCTGTCTCTCTCCCTCCCTCTCTGTCCCTCTCAGCACTGATGGAGGTGCTGAGCTGTGCTCCCTCCAAGCTGTCATCACTGGAGTCCATGTTGGCATGGTCCTAGCCCGCGCCCCCTGCCCCTGCTCTCTGTGGGGATGGGCTTGTGAGGAGGCTGGGGTGCCCCTGCTGGAGTGGGCAGAGTGAGGGACGCAGGGGTGGCTGTCTGCGGGTGCTTTTGGCCCAGACCTGGGAGACCTCCCCAGAAAGGGCCAGGGCCAGTTGCCACACGTCGCTGATTTTCTAGGAGAGGCAGCTGGGGGCTGATGCAGTGTGGGTGACCGTACCCAGAGCTGAAGTGACCTGCTGCTTGCTCACATTTTACAAATGCCCTTTTTCTTTGTTTTTCCTCCCACTAAAGTTCAGACCTTTGGGCTCTTGGCTGTATAATCTACCAGCTTGTGGCAGGACTCCCACCGTTCAGAGCGGGGTAAGAGACGCCAGGTGACCTGGGGCCTGGGGCGGGGCCCTGGCGCGTGGAGTGTGGTGATGGTGGCCACCAGGGAGGGACTGAGGGTCACGAGGCCAGCGCCACTCTAGCGGTGTGTGTGTGTGACTTTGCAGCGATGCCGAACCCCAGCCTGGAGCGTTGTGGGCAAGTGTGTGAGTGAGCATGTGGCAGGGAGGGAACAACGGTCACCACACGGAGGGGCTGGAAAGACCCTGCCCAGAGTGACTGCTTTTCTTACTTCGCAGAAATGAGTATCTTATCTTCCAGAAGATCATTAAGTTGGAATATGACTTTCCAGAAAAATTCTTCCCCAAGGCCAGAGACCTTGTGGAAAAGCTTTTGGTAAATATTTTGAATTTCTTCACAGCTCCCCGCACCTCTCTGCCCCTGTGTGCAGAGCAGGACTCCTGAAGCCCCCCGGGTCTGATGGTGATAGTGACTGTGGGTAGGCTCGTACCTGACGTCTCATCCCAGGACGAGTCCTTTTCAATCCCAACCCCTGGTCCTGCCTGCTTTGCTCGTCCGTGTACGCAGCACTGGAGTGCTGACGCTGGAGCAGCGGGGCTTGTTAAGGTGGCAGGTGGGCTGTGAGCCCACTTCAGTGGGATCAGCTTTAGAAGGAGTTTTAAAGCCCAAGCAGGTGACAGAGTCGTGTAGGAAAGACACGTTGGTTTACGTTCTAGAGACTGAAGTGTCCGACGTGGTGTGCTTTGGACCCTGGAGAGGGAGAGGACGGCCCATTGCAGCCTGGCGGAGACGGGAGAAGGTCCTGGTCACCTTTCTCCTTCCCCTCAGTGGGGAGGGGCTGGGGGCAGCGGCCGCTGGCAGTCCGGTGCAGGTGCTGGCGTGACATGGGGGCGCGTCACTCCACATCCATGCGAGGCGCCGTTCAGGCCAGTTCCTTGCGCCCTTGGTTCTCAAGGCTTGCGAGTCAGAGTTTTTCACGGTATTTGAAGAATACTTGCTGCTGTTCATTAAGTCATGAGGTTGTAATTCATTTTCTCCTGAGAGGAAAGAGAGACATGGAGGGACCCTGGAAGCTGACCCAGGCCTCCCCTGGCCCATGGAGGGCAGTGAGGGGCCCTTGCTGTCTCTAGGCGACCCAGAGAATTGAGCAAGATTCCTCAAAGTCGTTTTTTCTGTCAGAATGGCCTTTTGACCCTGGCCTGCTCTGTCTCCTCCTCCGTCTAAGGTCTTAGACGCCACGAAGCGGTTAGGCTGTGAGGAGATGGACGGCTACGCACCCCTGAAGGCCCACCCGTTCTTTGAGTCCACCACCTGGGAGAACCTGCACCACCAGACGCCCCCGAAGCTCACGGCCTACCTGCCGGCCATGTCCGAGGATGACGAGGACTGCTACGGGAATGTAGGCGGCGGTGGGGGGTGGGGGCGAGCCCCACTGGTCCCGCGGGAGCGCTCACGGGGCAAGCGCGCCCACTGAGGCGCCCCTCTCGCTCTCCCTCGCAGTACGACAACCTCCTGAGCCAGTTCGGCTGCATGCAGGTGTCCTCGTCATGCTCGTCTCACTCGCTGTCGGCCCCGGAGCCGGGCCTGCCGCAGCGCTCGGGCAGCAACATCGAGCAGTACATCCATGACCTGGACTCCAACTCTTTTGAACTGGACTTGCAGTTTTCCGAGGACGAGAAGAGGTTACTGTTGGAGAAGCAGGCCGGCGGGAACCCTTGGTAAGGACTTAGAGACAAAGCCGTCCCGCGTGTAGAATGGCACTGGGCGGCGTGCCCTCCTCGCCCTCGTGGGTGCGAGTGGGGGTGTGTCGGGGGAGGGGCAGCGAGTTGGGGGCTCCAGTCCTCATTCTGGCCCTGCTCCATCAGGCAAGGCCCTTGACCCAGCATTCCAGGTGCAGCTGTGCGTGCACGTGGATGGAAATCCCCACCGCCCGGTGGTTCGACACTCGGGGGCGTTTCCGAGTTTTCACTGCTGTGACAGTTCTTTGCAGTCTTTCCCCACTTGTCTGATCTTTTAAGATGCAGTGCTGGGGTGGCGGCCAGGTGAGGCGGCCGTGACCTGTGTCAGCGATCGGTGCCTGGGGGCCTGCGTGCCCAGTGGTCTGGCTGTGCGCGGGCGCTTTGGTGCAGTGAGCTGCTCTCTTGACTGTCAAGGCCGACGTCTTGGGTGCCCACTGGCCGTCTGTTTTTTGTTTGAGCTACTTGGTGTCCTTTGACTACTTTTTGTATGTTTTGCATTTTTTTAAACAATGTTTAAAAGCTCCACGTATGAAGCGTATTTCTCCTCTGGTGCGTATTTTGCGAACCTTCTTTATCACTTCAGTCTGTTGCTGCTAGGTTTTCCTGGGGGGGTATGGAAGTTGCAGACTGCAAGGAAGTCAGATCTGTGCGTGTTGTCGACGTTCTGTCCTGAGTGTATTGGAAAGGGTTTCCCCGGCCGTTATTCCCTGGCTTTTCTTCAGCCTTTTCCCCCGTTGGCGGTTTGTGCAGGCTGAGCGTGGCCTCGCGGGTGCGGGAGGTGCAGGGAGAAGGCGGGGGGACTTGAGGGCCGGCGGGGGTAAGTTAGTAGTGGAGGAGAGAGGAGGCCGGCCAGCGGGGGAGGGGGAGGCAGCAGGGAGAAAACTAGGGTGCTGCCCGACTGGCAGTGATGGTCTCTAGAAACGCGGGTGCTGATGCCAGCGCCAGAGTCTCCAGTTCTCGGGCTTCAACTTGGCCTCTTGGTCAGTGTCTCCTAACGCGGTGTTGGTGGCCGTGCTGACCTGCGCTGCGCAGGAGAGAGGGGTTTTTGGCCACCTCCGTTTGAGAAAGGCTGGGCCAAACCGCTCCGTCCAGGCACGCGGGGCCCGGGGGGGG